TATTTGGTTACATTGGGTTATATTTAGTTGAATGCACTGTATATTTTTCTACTCTTTTCAAAGCAGTAAAAGCCGCGTTCATCCATGAATTAATGCTGACTAGACTTTTCTATTACACACTGTCGACTCAGCTGTCAGGGGGAAGTAAGGGTTCAGTATCTTGCCTAAGGAAACTGAAGTGATTAAATCACCCACCTTCTGGTTAGAAGACAACCCGCCTTTCCCCCTGAGCCACGCTGCCATTGTCATTTCAAATGTGTTGAATTAGCAAGAAGTAAGTTGTTTCACCACAATGAGACAAACATCCACACAAACTGTTTTCTCATCTTTTTCATACTAAGAAGAAAAATATGGAGAAAGATAAAGCGCATTAAAAGGCAATGTACTTAGAAGTACTTACAACAAAGAATATAAAAAATATTTACAGAAGAAGATCTTTATATGTCAGGGCAGCTCACTGGCTCTGAACCACAGTGACATTTTGATCCAATTAATCTTTAAAACAATTTCAATAAAATAAAATATTAAAATCATTCGTTCGGTTGTGTGTTTTCTTTCTTGTTAGTTTTAAAGCCGGAGAAGCCGCCACGCCACTCAGGCCACCACAACCGCCGCCAGCGCCCTCACCAGAACCCTCGACAGGCTGTCCTGCCGCGCCTGGAGCGGGAGGAGAACCACAGGAACCTCCTGCCTCAGCCCTCAGCTGGAAGTACGTCCACCAACTGATCAACAACAAGCTCAGATATCTGTGCCACAATTAACTTTACATGGAGTTAGACAATATGAATTTTTTATGTTGAATTTGTGTTTAGTCAAACTTAGACAAATTTGAAATGAAGGAACAACAAAACTAAAACTACAGTTTCCAATGGCTCCAGTAAATGTTCCTACGTGTTGTATCTTGTAGAAACTTCTGCTGATGGTTAAGGTTTTTACATTTTTAGAGATGAAGACATTAAATAAAGACAGAAGATGTAAAGAAGACACATTAGGCTCCTTTGGTTTCCAGTTGATATTTAGACTGATTTATCTTTTCATTTTTATTTCATCATGATCATGTTATTTTCTGTTTGGAAGGGATTAATAGCATTTATCTATCCTCGCTAAAATATTTAACACTTTGCCAGTTGAGCACAGCACAACACCACCATCTCATACACATATTATCAATATCTTAAATGACTATGTCTCCTGACATGTTGACATATTGTTATAAGGTCCAGTTTTGTATATTTATATTTCTGCTGTGTTCATTCTTCAGGACATTGTGGAAAATGTCAGCGTGTAAAAGGTCAAAGGGAACGACAGAGACAGTATTGTCAGAAGGACTTCAGTAAGTCGGAATCTTGTTGATATGCTATTTGAAAATAATTTGTGACCGAACGATAAGTTTCAAATGCACATTTTTCAACATTCAATGTCTCTGTCAGTTTTCCGGGCCAGAGTCCTTGGGAAGCTGTATCGAGGCGAGGAAACGCGTTATGACGTCCAGATCATCCACACCTACCGGAACCGCTTCCGTCTGGAGCACCGGGAATTCCTCTGGGTCCCCAACGTGTGTGACTGTCCTCACCTGGAGGACGGAAGACAGTATATACTCATGGTGCGTCGTCACATTAACTATGAGCAAACGTTAAACCGCATCCTGCTGGAGGAGGACAGCTACGTGGTGCCATACAGACCCAGAGAGGACGAGCTGCTGCGACCGCTCGAAAGTCTTTGCAGCAACAGAGGAGCCAAACAACCGGCGGAGCTGAGGGGATGAGGGTGGAAACTGTTTGTCAGAGAAAGAACTGAATCTTTCTTCACCTGCAGACTCTGAAGCTGAAACTCGCCATATTAATGAAAAGATTATTGTACCGTATCGAGCACTTTAGGTGGACGATAGTTCACCTTTAAACACAAACCAAAGAGCAGAACGTTGACTGAAATGAATCTCAAAACACTGGAAACAGCTTCACAGTCGACATCTGCCTCTTCTCCTTCTTCAGGTCTCCAGATGTTTCCAGCTGCTCAGTAAAGTTTCTGCAGCAGCAAATCTTTAAATGTTAAAACATCAACATTAAATGTTTTATTGACTCTGAGGCTCCATCCCCACAAACTTGTTTCCAAACCGTCTCCGTCCACGCAAACATGAAAACACACATCACATGACCACTAACGTGCACTGTTGCGCACGACAAGAATAACATCTGTCTCCTCCACATGTAAACAGCTGGAATAACATCTGTCTCATCTACATGTGAACATCTGTATCATTGTGAAATAACAGCAGCAGAGACAACAGGGTCAGTAACACTTTGATTCCATGTTGTTCTACTCTGGTACCTTAGGCTGGTTGGTTTCTTCATGGACGGAGGTCATGTGACAGGAGACGAATCAGTGAAAGCTGTGTCATCACCAAAAAGAACCAATCAGCAAGAGATGGTGAGCGTCTATGTCATTGTCATCATCTCAGTTTCTGTCCGTCCAAAATAAAACTGTCAGAGTCTTCAGAGTAAAACGAGTCCAGCAACACTCGCACTGTGAGCGTCTCTCTAGAGTTGTGTGGACGTCAGAAGAATCTGTAGAGATGATGAGTTTTAAAGAAAACGTAGTCGTGTGGATGTAGCTACAAAATTAAAGCATGAGATCGAGCTGCCAAAACAAAATCCAAATCATAAATGTGGATTAGAATATAATTTAATCTAAGAAAACTATTTCAGAAAAAAAACTTTGCACCAAAACAGTCACAAAATAATGAACATCCCAGATGTTCAGGTTCTGAAGGTGAATTTTTCTTTTTGCTTTCACTCAAGATATTTAACAACACATGACTTCGCACTGTATTTATGTATAAAAACATAAGCTTAAACTTATTGGGTGTCACTTTTTTAATGTATTTCACAGTGTTTGATATTTGTATAGTGTGGTTACATCAGGTCTGCTTTGTGATTCAATACACAGTATTTTATTTTGTGGCACTGATACTTGCAGACGGTTCATAGTTTGCTCTTGTGCCTTTTGTTGTTAATTGATCTACCTGTGCCAAAAAACTTCTTTCTGCATTTGTCTATGTAAAGTATGAATGAAAATATAAATATATTATAGAGGTTGAACTATTGCAACTTTATTCTAAAGTAAATCTAAGTATGTTATAAGGTTTTTCCCTCCAGTGAACACGGAGCTCACAGTTGAACAAAAATACACCGGAACAGCAGCGTTTGTAAG